TCCTTCTTATCCATCTTATAAAAAACACTAAAGCCTTTAAGACTGGTATTTATTTTGTAGTACATTATTTAGCTCTTTACATACATTTTAGCCACTTTAAGAGCCACTGCAGAGGGTCCAAAGAGCCACATGTGGCTCTGGAGCCGTAGGTTGCAGACCCTTGCATTAGATCAAAGTGCACAGCATGATAACCTCATTGATTTAGGTGGGGGTAAAATAAATTGTCTTATTGCTGTGTTTTTATTAATGCCATGATCTCTGTTGTGTCGTTGTGCGCAGCTTTCCCTCTGATCTTCATCAAGCATTTCCGCTCACGACCGGAAACTGTTCCTGAAGCTGATTCTGACTTTGAGGAAGTCACTTCAACTAAAACAGGAAAGGTACGTGACATCCACAGTCCTTTTTACCTTATAGGGTACTGAAAATACACAACATTTTTAGGCAATTATTTTAGTCTTTTTTTCTCAATAATAGGATTTAGTTTTTAAAAAATCACCTTGGTAAGACAAAAAAAAAAGCTAGGTCATATGATTTAATCCTGTCCAGGATGTCCATCTTGGAAAGTCAACTTAATGTTGATCAGACAGCAGCTTAATATGAACAAAATCTCAAGAACTGAGTTTCCCAAATAATTCTAACCCTGCTGTATTTGTTTATATACAATTATTAAAGGCATAGATTTAATTTCATTTTATAAACTAATACATAAAATATCTAACCCCCCATTTTTCAAGGATCCAAAGAAATTTATTTTCTTAGATTTGTCCCAGTTATTTATCCCCTGATATAATATTGTTGTTTTTAATTGCAGTATTTATGTCACTAGTTGAAGTTTTTAAGGCTGTAGAAACTCTGAAAAGGCCTTAAATGAGATTCCACGAAAACTAAAGATAATGCATTTGTATCCACTAGGTACAACATTTCTATAAATGCTATCATTCCAAGATACATGTTGTATTATGTGGATGATTAAACCCAATGGAATACCTGTAAACACACTAGGATGTAGATTTAATCAAGAGTCCTTGATAAGCTAGTCTGGAGAACTAGGAGAAACCCCCGTGTGACTGCAAGACACTTACAGGATTAGCTGATGAAAGCGGATATGAGTGCAGCTTTAACACAGGCACTACATAAACAAGGATTAACTCCTAGACACACTCGGCTATGGACCACCACAGACCTCAGCAGTGGACTGGAAAAGGCCAGGAGAAAAAATATGCGCTGGTTAACTGGAGGATAAAACAGCCTGAATCTATCCATGAAATTTAATTCCTTGAACATTTAAATTTGTTTAAACATTGCTATAAATTATCACTTATTTTCAACCAATATATAAATATTAAACCTATGAACTCTAATATAATCATGAATTTTCGCTTCCCAGAGTTACATTTTCACATGGAGCTTTCTGATTGAAAACACAAATAAAACTCAATTACACATATCCATTGTCTGATCCTGCAGAAACTTTTGCTGCATGAGACATTTTTCTCATTTGATTTACTTTATTTTGACTACATTTGTTGGCTGAGTTTCTGAGCTGGAGGAAAAAACAGTGGCAGGAAGACATCCTTACAGAATTTATATCCTCAGCTTCATTTACTGCGGCTGAGTTCCACTGAACTAGACAATGAAGTAGTGACATTATACTTTTCTGGACAGAGAAATTATCAGATTTTTCATTCATTTAGTAGATTTTTTATGGAACAATAAGTAAAATTAAAAAAAGAAATACTGTACTTTCCAGACTTCAGAGTGCACCTTAATATAAGCCATGCCAACTAAATATTTTTTTAAAACTGGAAACCTACATATATAAGCCACGCCGTGCTATAAGGGGTTGTGTATACTTCGGCAGCAGTGTGTCGCAGTTAGCTTGTTGCAGGTATGATGCAGATATTTTTGATTTATTCCCAATTTTGAAGCGTAGTCTGCGCTATATGTTATTCCATGCCACCACGCAAGATGGACGATCACGAAACTAGCTCGGATTGTGGGTGACTGTGTGTTGGTTTGACAAGCTTGTTCGCCGTCTACAATCTCTCATTCAACGCCAGACGACACATAGTTCACCCATGAGTGTTCCCGAAAGACTGGCCGTGGCACTGTGTGTTTTGGCTTTGGGTGCAAACCAACAGACCGTCCACAGAGCTACAAACTACTGTCCTGTACGGTGTCTGGGATAGTGTCAAGGTGTGCCAGGCGTTGTGGACGGCACTACAGCCAGAGTTTCTGCCATTAGGTATCAAACAGGAAATACCCATTGTCTGGCACTGTCTGTGGTCACCTACAATTTTGGAGAGTTGCAGCAAGGTGTCTGCGGAAAGGGCAGCCTTTAAGCTGCTGATATCTACTGAACTGTAGGGGGAGCTCTACATACAGGCCCTAGAGTAGGGGCGAAGAAGAATGCTAGCTCCCGTTAGCTTGTCGGCTAGCAGCAGTAAAAGCATCTAATGAACGATGGAGCTTCGTCAGATCTTTCTTTCAGTTCTGCAGAAGTTGAGCCCATCTCTTTATTGGTTTGTCAGCTTTAAAGCAGCATATAAATGGCAAAATGTATGAACATCTGTTCTCCATCGTGCCTGCTGCTAGCATCTTCTTGTGCTAAATGAAAATCAGTTACCCTAGTAAACTAGCCCCACCCGCCAGCAGCCAAAATCCTTTTTGCCTGTGAGTTTGGTCTAGCTTCGATCAATGCCTCGGTCCCTAGAAATGGCGGGTAAATCGCAACGCAGAGATGTGTTTTGAATTCCTGGATGCAAAGCGGGCGGGGTTTTAGGGCGTGACGACAAAGCTGCGCGACGCTGGAGAAAGCACAGCAAGGAAGATGGCAACAACTAATAAACAGTAGCATGCAATGCAGCAGCAGCAGCTTTCAATGGAGCGCTTCATTGAAAGTTAAAAGTTCTCTTTCTGTCGCTGTTGTTCAATAAAAGTTTGTTTTAAGATCATTTGAGGCGAGAATATTATACTTTAAAGCGTCACTATATGGTCCATTTACCGACTTATTTACCGTGTGTGAAGGACTCAGCTTTGGAATCAGTTTAGGAAGGATTAGACGTGGGGTTTTCATTGAAACGTTGAGCAGGAAGAGGCTCTACGCTCATTCGTTTTTGAGGACGTATTCGCCGTTTTACCGACAGGCTGTTTTTTTACACTCCCCCACCAGCTTTCTGTTGCGCTTACTCATGAGCTCATTGGTCAGAGCATTGGCCAATAGGCACAGACATGGTTTGAAAAAAACGGGTTGTTCTCATCAACAATCTTCCCATGTCTCAATCATCGGGGCCAGACTAAATTACACATTTAGTCTCACATTCAGTCCCACATTTAGTCCGGTTTATCAGGCTAAAATTCAGCCCCTTATTCTTTCATTTCCATCTTTGATTTCCCCTTCTGGCAATCCACAGAAAAGCTGCACCTTCTTATAAGCTGCATGGTTCAAATGTTAGGAAAAAGTAGGGGCTTATAGTCCAGAAAATACAGTACACTTAAAATAATTTATTAATTTGTCAAATTGAGATTAAAATCCTTTTTATTCTCTCCAGATTGTTTAGGAAACAAGGCAGCTTTCTGTGTAGATTTAAAGGAAGAATACGAAAGTATGAAAAAGGCTCTGATCTCCCTGCAGAAGCTGCGCTACTAATCAATAGGAGGAACAGATTCCCTCTGTGAATCTACCTTACAAAGGCAGCGTCAAAAGACGAGGCTCTCCTCCTCAGTAAGATCGTGTTTAATCACGTGGTCCTTTGCATAAAATAATCCCATTGCAAGTGTTGCAGACAGCTGATTCTTTCATTAATGTTAAACCATTTGAGCGCACACCACACCTGCTATTTCTTCATCAGCTTCTATTTCCAGTCAGCAGACCGGGCTTCGTACTAGAAATCACAAAATTTAAAAAATCTCAATGATTCCAGGAGAATCTTAAGGCTAGAACTGATCAATTCTTAGTACCCAACCATACATAGGACCCAAAGAATATACTGAAGATAAAGAGGAGGTGGGTCATAGTGAAGTACCATTGTTGTTCTTTTTATGCAGCATCAACTGACAGTCTTTATTTTTTAATCATGCATCTTGTATTCCCAGAAACACAGGAACTATGTTACGATAGTGGTAAATCCTTCTGTGCAGCACTTAGCACCGGGTGATCATTGGACTTTAAAACAAAATGTTTATTCAATCCAAACAACAAAGTCAACCAAACATTGTTAATGGAAAAACTGGAAGAATCAACAGTGGCTTTTCAATGTGAATTGAAACTCATGGTGGGATTTGATGAATATGTGACAGAAGCCCACAGAAAGAGGAGCAATCTCTTCTGAAAGGTGCTAAAAGGTTGTCAGCACAAAGCACTGATGCTGCGGGTTAAAAAAACAATGTCGGTTACATTTTCCCTTCCATCTTTAAGGCTTACTCAACTTCACTTGTAAATCTCAGTTTTTTAAATAGGTTACAACATTACTGCAGTATCTTTATAGATATTTTTCTGTGAAATAATTAAGAAAAAATCCATTATTTTAAGAACCTGCTGACCAAAGGCTGTCCTGTTTTTCTCCTTTATAATTACCAAGCAAATGACTGAGCTCACAATGGGATGAGAAAACTGCCCAAGCCCCCAATGGAAAGATGGTTTCTCTTTTTCATATAGGGTTTTCTTACATAGAAACCAAGGTTTCCAGGAAAACTTTGGGCCATGCAGAGGGAGCCCAGCAAGGATTTGATGCCAAGTTAACATTTCTTTAATTAATCTCCACCTGTTTTTAAGGAGCCAAAAACCTCCGATGTACAGAATCTTTCTGAGGGAAAGAAGACGAATGAAAAGCCATCAGCTGCAATAAAGTCAGTCTCCAGCACAAAGAAGCGTTTGTTTTTATCCCAGTCTGATAAAGAGAAGCTTCTGAATTGGGAAGAGTCCCTGAAACAACAGGAAACTCCCGTTAACAACAGCACAACAAACACTACACAAGAAAAAGACAAGGTGAGGATATGCTTATTAATATCCCTAAATAAAAATGCAATTCAGAGAAATGTGAGAGAAATTAATTCATGATTCAGTGACCAATTTTTTCCCCTTTCCTCTGATGTTTTATCAGGTACAAGCAGATGCAGATAAGCTTCAGACAAACACAAGCCAGATCGGAACAGCCTGCGCCAGCCAAACGTCTGCATCTTCTTCCTCTGCTATCCAGGTCATAGCTAATGCCTTCAGGAGAACCTTTAGTGGAGGCAGTCAGCCTAGCAGCTCCAAGACTGCAGTTGTAATGTAAATACAGATTATTTTTTTAATCCATTAATTTAGGCACCAGAGAACTTCTGATCTGATGTTTTTTTTCCCCAATTTTTCGTCTTACAAGGAGACCTAAAGATGACGTCCCACGTAGACCGAGGCCCATGTCTGAAGGAGCATTTAGCTTCAGCTCACTTTTCAGTCCTGCAGAGTCATCAACAGCAGAGAAGAGGACAAGCATGCATGATATCAAATGGGCGTCTGTGGGAGCAGACCCATGGGGGGAGGGGCAAAACCTACCTACCTTATTGGAGCAAGTGTCCCTGAAAAGTCGGAGAGACTCTGAAGGGGTGTCAGGGGAGCTTTGTTCACTGCCCCGTAAAAGGGTAGATTTATTCTCATCTCTTAGGCTCAGAAAGAAGGGCCTATTGGACGGTGAAAGGAAGGGACAAGAAGCTCAAAAGGAAATAAAGACTTTTCTGTCCAACCTACGAAATAAAGGTGAGAGAAAAGTCCCCACATGGATTTAACTGAGCAAATAGGCAAATAAGTTTTCACCTTAAACAAGCTGATAACCCAAATGTTGCAATTTGTTAAACAACCATGTCGAAGCGCATCCTCTGGTGTTGGAAAAGGGTTCAATCATTGGCATGTATCAAGCAGACAAAACATCTAAGGAGATTTAGAAATGACCAAACCTGAGTTAAGAACGGTCCAATGCCTTAAAAAAACTGGAACGATAGTTGGGACTAGGATAGTTGAGGCTAAAAAGAGAAAACGACAAAAACGAAAAATAAAAGTTGAAAAATAAAAGAAGTTTAGCCGCTGGTCCGACCTGCCCCGGCTGTGCCCTCCAGAGAGCAGCACACCCTTCAGGCTGAACCTACACGCGTAGCGCGGTTCTCAATCAAAAGACATAGGAGGCTGGCCGGTTGACTGTTTGTTGACTTTTGCAAGGAGGCCACTAGGGGCGCTAGACATAAAAGTTACAGGTCTAGCACCCTAGAGGCCAAAAGTTACACAATGTACCTTTAAACATTTGGTGAAAACAAATTGAGAAACAACAACAGTAACACTCTGGGCCAGGGACCATAAAGATTGGACTCTGTAGCAATAGAAGAGAGGCCTGTGGTCTGAGGCCAAACGTACCCTGTTCTAGACTGATGGGAGTTTCAGGGTAAAAACAGAGGCAGGTGATGCAGCCATGATGCCTTTAGCCCACTGCATGGGAGCAGTGCTGTTATCTGGGGTTGCTGTAGTTGGTCAGGTCTAAGTTCAATAACATTATGAGCTCAGAGAATGAGGTCCGCTGACTGCCTGAATATGCTGAATCTTCCCTGATGGTACGGGCATTTTCCAAGGTGACAACGCCAGGATTCATCATACTCCAATTGTGAAAGAGTGGTTCAGGGAGAACGAGACTTCATTTTCACACATGGATCAGCCTCCATAGAGTCCAGCCCTTTTCCAAAGGAAGTTTCAGCTCCTTCCAAAGATACTAAATAGGATCTCGGTCTGGCTTTATAGAATAGTCCAATGCTTTCCTGTCAGCCATTCTTGGTTACTTGTAGCTGTATGTTTTGGGTCATTATCCGGATGCACCAGCTTCAGTTCTAGACCAATTTCATCATGGCGGCCCAGGTGGGGCCAGCGTTTTTTTCATTGGTATACAGAGCAAAAGCTTAAAGGAATAGTACACCCAAAACATGATTAGCCTTCATTTTCTACTCACCCCCATGCTGAACAACACTCTGGAGTACTTTTTTGATAT